GGGGGGGGGGAGAAAACAGAAGGAAAAAATGGACCCAAAGTCTTGTAATTAGGGGGGAAGAAGGGCTGAAGGGAGGGGAGGAAAATGGGGAAAAATAAGAATCAAGATATATCATGTACAGGTACAAATTCCCTATGATGAATATGATTACTATGTTTATGGATGTTGGGAAATGGGAAGAAAGTGTTCAAATGGGAAGAAGAACAAGGGAGGAGTCAGGAAGAAAGAAAGGATGGGACAAGAAAAAGGTGAAAATAGAAGGAAAAAATGGAAACAAAGCTTTTGCACATAGGGAGGAAAGGGGGCTGGAGGGGGGATGGGGTAAAATAAAATAAAATTTATTAAGAAAGAAAAAAGTACCAATCAAATTAATTTTAAAAAATAAAAATAAATAGTAAATTTTTAAAAACCAAGTCAATGCCAAAAAGAAACAATAAGAAAACAAGGAAGAGACATAAAAGTTAACTAGATGAACTCTGAAATAAAAATTCCAAAAGAAGACCCATATAATGGGATAAACATGGATGGAGACTGCATTACAGTTTCAGAAGACAAAAATCAAGGAAATATCTTTAAATGGTGAGTAAGAAATATAAGACATTGACAGATCTATTTTCTGTCTATATGTAAAGAGACACTGAAGAATCAATGTGAAAATATTCCATGTCCATCTAAAAGGGAATTTAAGAAGAGGAAAATGGAGAAAATAGAGGGGAAGAAATAATTAATAAAATTATAGAAGAAAAATTTTCCCAAAAGTGATACAAGACATTTACTGATAGAATTTCAGAATTTCTGGATAAAAAGAAAAATCTAATTCTCAGAAGAGAGATACACAAACACACATTTTATTTACAAAGGACCAAGAATCCAGTTGTCATCATATTATATTTTATCAGTCACACTGGAAACTGGGTGACAATGAGAGTACAAACATCTACATTATGATGATAAATAATTTGAATGAAAATTTTATACATGGCTAAATGAGTATTCAAATCTGAGGACAAAATGAAAAGTTCTTGTATATGTATGGACTCAAACACCTTATTACCTGCCCACTTTCAAATATGCATTTGAGGGCAGTGGCATAGCTAAAGTTCATGCCACTCAAGGGTGGTCCTTCAATTTGCTGCCCTCCAACAAGTCTGAATATGCAGTGCCACTGTTTGAAGGAAGTCCAAAGAGGCATTCAATTAAAAAGAGAAATAAATGCAGGAAAGAGGATAATGTATAATATATTAAAAGAATAAAACCTTATGAACATCTCAATAAGTGCCAAGAACTCACTTGATAAAATTCAGCACATGTTCATAATAAGAACTTTTTTTTTTTTTGGTGCTGGGGATCGAACTCAAGACCTTGCACTTGGGAGGCAGGCGCCAGAACCACTGAGCTAAATCCCCAGCCCAAGAACTTTTAGTAAGCCAAAAATAAAAGGAAATTTCCTTAATCTGATATTTCCCAGAAACCTATAACAAATATTACATCAAATGGAGAAAAATATACAATAATCTCATTAAAATTAAAACCACCACAAAAAGACCCATAATGAATACTCCCTATTTAATGTTGGTATAGCTATATAATAAAATTGAAAAAAGAAATAAGGTATAAATATTAAAAAGGAAAATGTGTGTCTCAGTTACTTTTTCATTGCTGAGTCAAAATACAAGTTTAAAAAAAGGTTTATTTTAGCTCTCAGTTTGTAGAGGTTTTAGTCCATAGTTCGCTGGCTCCAAGGAAGGACAGGATAGTAGAGGGGCATTGCAGAGGAGAAACAATCCATGGCAGGGCAGGCAAGAAGCAGGAAGTACCCAAGGCAAGGGGGATATATATATATAGCCAAGTCACTCCCACAGTGACCCACCCCTCCCACCAAGCTACATCTCACATTATCATAACCAGCTATAAACCCATCAGTAGACTAATCCACTACTACACATCCATGATCTAGTCACCTCCCAAAGCCCCATCTATGAGCGCATGAGGATTAGGGGGCATCTAGTATAAGCCACAACACTGTGGCAGGTTCTATTTTTCAGTGACCCCAAAGCTGGCCCCCTCAACGGGATCTGCCACCCCCAAATACTCTTCCACAAAGTGACATCACAGCACAGCCTGTTGAGAGGGTCCTCCAAAGCTGAACACATCCCCAACTGCTCTGATCAATGAGACATTTCAGAAAGGTTGCTGTGCCAGAAAAGAGAATCACAGAGTTAATAAGAGAGACTTCAGAAAGATGTTGGGAAAAAGACCAAAATACAAAAACTAGTAGTTTTTCCTTGTATCAAAATAAGCATTTTTAAAAGTGTAATGAGAAGAAGGATCTATTTACAACACAAATCATAAACTATGTGGAAATAAACTATAAATGTCCAAGACTATGTTGAGGCATGGTCTTGGCAGGAACAGAGAGTGCATTCATACAAGGACCATCGGAGGTGGGTTTAGCACAGGGGATATTTACAAGGTGCAGCAGGCGCAGGGAAATGAGCAAGTACTTCAGCTGTCAGGCTGGAAGGCTGTGCCAGCCTAGGTGGTGGCATGGGAAGAGGACTAGCCTCGGGCATCCACAGAGACAGCACCTGAGCAGAGGCCACCTTACCGAGGCCAAGGCACCCAGTGGAGACATCAGCCAGCTGCAGCATCCAGATCACACCATCCTTCTCCTGCCATCAAGTCTGCCATTGGCCAAACCTAATGGAAAGCCAAAGGCAAGAGCATCATGATGCTACCTGTTCAGCCAGGCACCAGGGACAGACAGGGCTGAGCAGGGTGGAGAATAGGCCTGCACTGCAAACAGAGAATCAGGCTGTGCTAGCTCATGTTCCACTGTTCAACAAAATACTCAAGAAAAGAGGTCTATGGGGCTCACAATTCTGGAGGCTAAAAGTCCAAGGCTGGGTGGCCCCAGGGGTTCACCCTCTTCGGGGGCCCCATGCCCAAGGTATCATGGCATGAGCACATGTGAGAGGGAGAGATCACACAGCCAGGCAAGGGAAAGCCAGGGTCGCTCTTTCTGTGACACTTCACTGTCATGAAAACCCACTGGGGCCCCCAAAACTACTGAGAACAGCACCCTCAGGAATCTGTCAACCCCTCACTAGACTCCATTGGTCCTTAACATCATCACAGTAGAGACACGCTTCCACACAGGAACCTTCGGGGACACACTTAAGCCTATCCAAACCAGAGCACTAGAAAGGGGAAATTAATCAGACACAGAAGGTTAAATATCACAGAAGGTTAAATTCTCTAACATGAGAAACCCAAAGTATAAATAACTTAAAGAGCAAAATAAAAGAGATAGTAGGGAACAAAGAGGTAGACTCTGGAGATGGGAGGGGATCTGGGATGGGCGAGAGGAAGCGGCAGGAGAGTAAGAGAGATCAAGACATTAATGTGTAAAGCAACTCCCCAAGATGAATGGAATGACAAGGTGTCGCAAACCTATACTACTAAAAAAGGGAAAAAAATTTAAAAAACCAAAAAACTTTTCTAAAAGACCCAAAGAGTTAAGTAAGAACATAGAAAGCCAAGTTCCTAGAAGGAAATCTCAATATTTTAATGAAAATTCTGCCTCAATTTTTCTACAAAATCCACACTGGCACCAATATACTCACAAGGTTTATGTGAAAGAGGAAATATCCAAGGAAAATCAAGAAAATTTAGAAAAAGAAGAAGGCTGGGCATTTAGCTCAGTGGTTCTGTCACTTGCCTCGCAAGTGCAAGGACCCGAGTTTGATCCCTGGTACCAAAAAAAAAAAAAAAGAAAAGAAGAAGACGTGAGCGAAGGCTCCCCAATCACTGTCAAAACCCACGATAAGGCAGCATACATCAACAGACAAACCCGGAGCAAGGGACCCACCTTATAGACAGACACTGGCGTGTGGGCATTCAGTAAACCAAAAAAGCAGCATTTTACAGCAGGAGGGCAAGTCAGACTAGTGGCTAGTAAATGCTCAGGAATAATTGTGTGTTGTAAAAATAAAAAATGACACATGCACTTGACAGCACCCCCCAGCACATAATGAAGTGCAAGGATGAGTACTAGAAATGATAAATGACTACAGTAGAAATCCTGTGGAAAGAACAGTGGTTTTTTTGTGATGGAATATTACATGAAGAATGTTTCCATGTATTCTTTATAATATTACAAATGTTTTGAACTGCAAAAAAAAAAGGAAAAAGAAAAACCAAGGCTACAGAGTGGGGTGCAAATCCGTAAGAATTATAGACTTCAGATAAAGCAGACATTCACATCAAATAAATTTTTCTAAAATTCCCAAAGAGGCACTATTTGCTATGTCATGATATAAGAGTCAATGTCAAGGAAATGAACAGCCATTTTGCAATTTACCATTTCGTCTCTGATCACTGCAATGCCAACGACTTGTTCTGCCACTTCCGCCACAAAAGCCTGCAGTGGTGTTCCATCCTGCAAAGACAAGCACCTGTTTTATGACCCTGGAGCATTGCTATTAGGGTCTGTGCCCCTCTAACCATCATGGTGCAACAACAATTGCACAATCAACACGTAGGGCTGGGTGTTAAGATCCACATCCTCCCCGTGTCCATTCACCTTCATCCCAACTCTCCAAGTATTATGATTCTATCTATTTACAAGAAAAAACAGCATGGAAGACTTGGTAACTTGCAAGATCTCCTGCTCAGATGGCCTGAATCATGATTTGAGCCCAGCTCCTTCTCCTCAGAATCTGCCTTCTTTAACTCTACAACAGTGGGCCTTGAATCTATGATCTGTCAGGACTGCTATACACCGAAGACTCCAAAGAGCCCTGGTTTATGTGTGTAATTCTACCACCATCTTCCATATTATAAGTAAGACTGAGAAAAATTTGACCTTATGAAATTTTAATTTATTGATAAAAAAAATTTTATGAATTTTTTGTTTAATTTATTGATAAAACAAAATTTTAAACTTGTTCGTTATTTCATTTTAATATAACAATACATATTTAAACTTGTTTACTTAATTTTAAATTAATAATACAGAGCATAGTAATATAAATAATGTACTTTTAATAAAAATAACTGTATTTTCCAAAACAAAAATATTGAAAGAGTGCCACTGTTTTCATTTTTACAAATGTATTGAATGTCTGGCTTAATAGAAGACAGCTAGATTCTCAGATATGTAGTAAATCTGTTGCAATATGTTATTTTGATTGAAATATATGTTAAAAAATTCTGTCTTCACAAAAATATATAATTAGAAAAGAGAGAAGTGTTTAAATAATCTTTCCACATAATTATGGATATTCTTCCTTGGCAATCCACCAAAACTCAACAACTAGTAGTGTTTCAGAGGTTAGCTACAATGTGGTATCTTAAAGCTGTATCAATGAATACTGTATACATTGCTCTATTAAAATGCGGCAGTCTATTTTGCACATCAAATGACTTTTATTTGTGCATGCTTTGGTAACATCATTCATTATTTTCCTAGAAAAATATCATTTCACCACAGGTTGACCCATTCCATGACAAAATATCAAACATCTCTTTCATTGATATCACCACCCATCTTATCGGGAAGTCTTTCAAGTACTGAACAGCTGGGTCATCAAGCTTCTAATGGTAGGTACTGCTTTCTCTAGATTCTTTTTTTTTTTTTTCTTGATTGTATTGTATCACAGGGGACAAATCTGTCTGTTGTTTTCTTGGAGTGACAAGCTCATCTCATTCATTTTTAAGAAAATGTCTGTGCACCATCCAACTCCAAAACAATGTATTTTTTTCTGCTGGTTGTTCTTTTAGGTAAAAATGGTGTTCCACAAAAATGGCAGCTGGTTCAGCACACGAAGCTCAAACAAGTGCAGAAGTGCTTTTCTCCCATCAGCCAGTACACTTCCAGCTGCGGCAGCAGAACACCTTGTGTACATTTCCCTCTGTCACACAGAGGGCTAAAGCACATGGATGCAAGGGTTGGGCTGAAGAAAGTTAATAATTTTACTGCTTCATTAAGGATATCAGTCAGTGAAATTTGCTTTTCTTTTTTTTAACTGAGATGATTAATTGTAGATTCACATGCAATTGCAAGAAAGAACACAGAAATCCTCTGCACACATTGCACATTGCCCAGTATCCCCTATTGGTAAGAGTTTGAAAAATAATAGCATAAGACAAGCAAAAAACTGACACTGATTCAAGTGTGTGCATGTGTGTGTGTTACATGCTACGCAATTTCATCTCCTGCACAGGTTTGTGTAGCCACCGCACCATGATACTACACACTTCAAACCTCACAAAAACCCCTTTATAACTACACTCATCTACCTGCCTGGCAACATGTGATCTCTTCTCTGTTTCTAAACTGTGCCACTTCAAGATGTCCTGTGAATGGGATTGCATAGTGTACAGCCCTTAAAGCCTGCCTTCACTCTCACTCAGCATAGTGCTGCAGATTCATGCGTGGTGCTCCAAGGACAAGGCTGTGTCTTATGTGCAGCCAGTCACCTGAACATCCAGGCTGATGTGGGCCAAGTCCCCATTGCCCCGGAACAGATGCTCAAGGGGGCACCTGGCAGTCAGGGGACAGTGGCAGGCTTACTTCTGTGAGAAGCAGCCAACGTGTTTCCCCAAGCAGCTGCACCCTTCTACGGTCCTGCCTGCCACACAGGAGTGAGGCAGCTCCTCACATCCTCACCGCAGTGACGTATGCCGATATAGTGGGAAAGGAGTGCAATTTCTTACTCTTATTATGAAAACAGTCTGGCCTCACACACCCAACTCAACATCCATGTCTAGGAGACTGAATATCCTAGACCCTGGGCTCCTTAGACCACACGTGGAGAAAGCGCACTTGAACTTTTACTACCAGAGGGGCTAGGAGGAAAGCAGCAAAAGGGACCGTGACAAACCAAATCAAAGACATAAGAAAGGTATGGCCAGGCTCCCTTTCCCATGGTTGACAATGGGGTCCTGTGACCCTGAGCCTGCCACCGGGTACTGCTGGGCCGGGTACTAGACACTCATGGGTCCCAGTCTACCCTTCCACAGCCACAGTCAAAGGTGTTGTTGTGGGGACCAGCATCCATTTCATTCTGTCACATTTATCTGTGTCAGATCCTAGAGTTGTAGGGTATCTGGTCAATAGCCTCACCCCCTTGCCCCTCAGCTTCCTGTTTCTCTCTTCTGTGCCCCTCCTGGGACCCCACCCTGCTGTTCCACCACATCCTCTTCTAACTGTGGCCTCAGGCAGGGATGGATCTGCACGGGGCTCAGTGGACCCACACGGCGAGAAAAAGGAGGCCACTGCGGTCAATCTGTGTACTTACAGGGTCTCTGCGGGCCTCACTGTACTGGGCAAAGTCCTCCAATATGCTTTTACTCAGCATGAGGGAGCTCACCAGCTTTTCCACGCCAGGAGTGTCTGTGCAATTGGCTAATCTTATATTAATGGACCTAGATGAGGAGAGAAATACATTTCTTAGGTTAAAGTGCTAAAATGCGTTTTGCTCTCCAAAATGAAGACCGGATTATAACACATCACACTTACATAGAATTATAACTAGCAAAGTACAATTATGTAACACTGAGGTTTGATTAATTTTATAAAAGTAACTCATTTTACTCTAGAAAACCTAAAAAAAAACAAAAACAAAAGAAGTGCAAAGAACAAGGTAAAAATCACTGATAATGCTATGAACCAAAGATAACACAGTTACACTTTTTTTCTTTTCAGTATTAGGGGCCGAACTCAGGGCCTTCATACACAGTTACATCCCCAGCCACTCTCATTTTTTAATTTTTAAAATAGGGCCTCTTTAAGTCACTAAGTTGCCCTGTCTGGGCTTGAACTTGTGATTCTCCTGCCTCAGCCTCCCAGAATGCTGGAATTACAGATATGCACTATTATACCTGACTAAAGTTACACTTTAAATACGTGTAATGTAAATGCATACAATTTAAAACATTCAGCCCCATGATTTATTTCATATTGGAGAGCTATCTCATATTCTGAGTAATGTTTCCCCCACATCTTTAAAGACTGTTCAGAAATCTGCTGAATGTAAGCTTGTGAGCTGCATAAAAACTTGTGTGTCTGATTTACTTCACTTAACATTATGGTTTCAAGGTGCATCCATTTTCCTACAAATGACTCAAGTTTATACTTCTTTATGGCAGAATAGTACTCCATTATGTGTAAGTACCACATTTTCTTTATCAATTCATTTGTTGATGGATATGTGGGCCACTTCTAAGATTTAGCTATTATGAATTGTGCTGTAAGTGAAAGATCTTGGCTTTGATATGTTTACTTTGCACCCAAATCTATCTCTAATAGATTAAAAATGTAAATGTATGAAAGAACTCATAGAGCCAGGGATTTAGCTCAGTGGTGCCGCCACCTGCCTCACAAGTGCAAGATCCTGAGTTTGATCCCCGGTACAAAAAAAAAAACTCATAGAAAGTATGAGGGAAAGTCTCAGGAAAATTAAAAATATATGTGCACACAAAATCCTGTACATGAGTGTTCATAGTGGTGTTGGTCACAATAGCCCCAAAAGAGAAAACAACCCAAATGCCTATCAACAGATAAACACACAAAATGTGATACATACATAATAATATTATTCAGCCATGACAAGGGATGAAGTAGTAACACATGCCTCGGTATAACTGAACTTTATAAACATTACACTAAGACAAGGAAGCTGTATTCAAAAGGCCACATATTATATAATTCTATTTACAGGAAATTTCCACAATAAGAATACTTACAGAGACAGAAAGACAGAGGCTAGGAGGAGAAGGGAATCAGAGTGATTGCTTAATGGGTTTAGGGAAGGCTTTGGGGTAATGAAAATGTGTGGGGACCAGTATGGTCATACATCATAAATCTACACTTGACACTGCTTTAAGTGGGCAAATTGTATACGAATTACATCTCCTTATATATTTTATACACACACACACATATTCAAAGAAAAAGAAAAGGAAGGGGAGTGACAAGTAATAGGCAAAAAAAATGTAGTTATATAAATATCAGATAAATTAAACCTTAAAATTGTATGAGAGAAAAAGTCTTTATTTGATATTAAAGGTTAAAAATCTACTAGAAGATATAACAATATCAAATCTTTAGGCATCTAACAACATAGCTTCAGGATAAAAATCAACAGGGCCATGAGAATAATCTGACTAATTCACTGTCCCCTTGATAGGGTTAAATACACCTTGGTTGGAATCTGGTGACAGACAAAAGATTGAAAACATGTGGAAGATTTGGATACTTCATGTAAGGGCCATGATGCCCCCAGTGAGACAGCGCTGATTATCCCAATGGCCGCCATGTTGTCCTCCTCCCAATGTCCTCTGCCTAGCGGCCCTACCTGTCTGTGTTCATGGCGACATCACCCTTCCAGTGGTTGAGGGTTCATCTCATCTTTTTCCAGTGCTTCTCTTTCAGTCCAGCCACACAGGAATTGAATCTCCCTTTAAATTCATTGGAGCCCACCCACTTCCAGAGCCTGGCCCCCACAACCAGCTCCTTCAGCCTGGGTGTCACAATACCATCTTCAGGTGTCTCCATGTTTCACCTTTGTCTCCTCAAATCCATCCTCAACAGAGGCACCAGAGCGATGCTTATGGACCATTAGGTCATATCACAGGGCTCTTCCACACAAAGCCCAGGAGTGGAAGTGTTCTTAGCTCTTCTATGCCTACAGCTCCTCTCAGAACATTTGTAAATGTATAGAATAAAACATATAGGGCTACAATGTATGAATTTAATGAACTAAACATAATTTAGCAGTGGCTAACAACAGCCATTGTTTTGCTGCATTGATGAGAATAAGCAGAATATGGTACTCGTGGATATCTGTGAAGTGATAGGAAAATACTCATGGTCCACTGAAGCAAAAGTGGCATGTATGGGGGTACTGCTGTGACCTGGAGCTCACTTTGCAATGGAAGGAGGTGCTAAATTTCATTAATACTTTGCAAATACAAAGATGTACATTTTCACCTGAATTCTACCCATGGACTGGGTTGAGACCCCAGCTATCTTCCCCATTATGTTTCAAGTGAAAATTAAAGCTCTAGAGTAGCTGGGAACCTGTGACCATGGCCTCTTCCCCTGTGTCCTTTGTCTAGGATCTCACCTTTCACTGACTGATGTCCAAATCTTCAGTACCGTGCTTTCCCAGCATTACCATGCTGTTCTTCAAACAAGTCTGGAATCTTCCCTGGAGTCCCTGCCCCCACCCAGCATGTCCTGAGCCTTGTTCCCTCCCCTCAGCATCCAGTGTCTGCTAATCCTCACCCTCTTCATGGTGCCATCCCTGCATCTAACCCCTTGTTCAAAATCTAAGAAACCTGACCCTCCCATCCCCACTCCTGTTCTCTTTCTCCACAGCACTTCCTACCTTCTATTTATCTTGTTCACCATTTGTCTTTTCCCATTAAGATAAAACCTTACAAAGATGGGACTGTTGGTCTCTTGCCCCTGCTGCAAAGCCAGGGTGAGAACAATGCGTGGTATGCAGTAGGCACCCAAGAAAAAGCTGTGGAGTGATTCTGCCTCCTGTGTGGCAAGAGCTGAGAGGTCTCCCATGCTTGCTGCTTGTTTCTCTACAAAGCACTGCCATCATGGTACAGAGTGTGTGGGAGCTGGAAAGTAAACAGAGGTGTGATGTCTACTCCTGCAAGGCATAGAGGATTCCATGGTCCACCCTCCAAGCCAGGGTCTCCCAGCCCACAGCTGTGCTACTGAAGTTCAGTGGGACATGGGCTGTTTCCAGTCAAGTGTCACAAAAGCACAATCACTATTTCACTTGTCTGTCCACAAAGCTCTCCTGCAGATCAGGGGATATGACCACTGTGTGTCACACTGAGACGCTCTCATGCCTGTCATGTCTATGTGCCAAGGAGGACACTCAAGGATTCCCATCAGGAGGAGGAAGGTCACCAGCAGTACATCCCTGTCTGACTATAAAGCTATGTATCCCGTCTGCTGCCGGAGCCTCTAGATACAGGGCCGGTTGCATATTGGAAAGAGGCTACTTGGTCCAGCTGCACAATAAGTACAAAATATCAGCCAGTTTTGATGGCAAAAATAAAATATCTCATTAATCCTTTTTATATTGATTACATGCTGAAACAATATGTTAGATATAATGGGTTAAATAATAAATATTGTAATTTTTCACCTACTTCATTTTAATTCTTAATTTAATATAGCTATAAGAAATTCAAAATCACACATATGGCCACAGGTTATTGTGCTTGCTGGGGCCCATATTTGCTTCTGAGGCTTACGTTTCAGAAGATTTTTACTCTGCTCAGAAAGCAGAGCACAGGTGTAGCCCAGGGGACCTGTCCCCCACAGGCTCGAGCGGGTGGCTATGCTTCTGCTCCCATGCCACACCTTCTGCACAGGCAGCAGCTGGTTGCTTCTGGTTTTAACTGGAATGAGACAAAAGGAACTGTGGCCAGCAAGAAGAAAATCCAAATGGGGCAACAGGTGTGTATCCTGATTGCTTTTATGTGGCAATGGGGAGGAATATCTGGAAAAACTGAAAAATGCATACTCAAAGGTATTTCCTTGAAACTCAATTATTACAATGGCATTATTAAGAATGGTTCACTGATTCAGTCAGCCATCGATGTTTATAAAACATCTGCAGGATGCCTAGTTTGTCCTAGGTGTTGGGATCCAGTTAGAACAAGGCAGTCCACAATTTCTGCCCTAGGGTTGCTGACGGTCTATCAATTCCAGAGCCACATGCTGAGAAACAATTCTGAAATCCTCTAAAATCGTAAGTGATATACATGAGGATAGATATGGGCTATGAGGTACAGAGACTTTAATCTGGGTTTTAGCTATAGAAAGCCCCTTGAAAATTAAATTGACTTCAAACAAAACTGTAAGGATGCTTAGAATGTAGCTTAGTGGTGCTGTGTCTGTCTGGCAAGTGCAAGGTCCTGAGTTCAATTCCTGGTACTGAAAAAAAACCCCAATAAAATAAAATATTTAAAAAATCGATCTTAAAATATTTGTGAGATCATACACACACCAAAAGGAGATGGTGTTGGCCGTCACAGTATCAAGCAGTTATCTTTATTCCTTGCCATGTTCTCTGATGAATCATAAAGATACAGAGTATTCACTGAAGACCTATAAAGTGATACTAAGAAATTCTGTAAAGTGAACTTTAAATCTGTTAAATAAATATCCAGGAAGACAAAGTCCACTTCGATGTTCGCACATCAGACAGAAGCCTGGCAGGACTGCAGACAATGGCAGTTCACTGGATGTATCTAAATGTGACTGGCTTTCATCTCTCCACAACCTTCAAAGAAGTTTCATATATCCTTTTGCTGTGCTCATGAATGGAAGGACCTGCTTTTGGTCCCATTGTGTGTAACCAGGAAGGAGAACACTCTACCTCCCTCCCCCT